TAGCATTGCACTTGTGTGCCATGCACCTAATGCGCTTACTTTGACCCTCATTTATCTTCACAACAAAATGTTCTGTCCAACCTAGGAAAAGGAGGGAAAAAATCAACTCAATAGACTAAAATGTGCGAGCTGTTACAACTTCAATTACTTTTTGCACACATAACCAAATTTGAGTTGATTGCTCATTTTTAAGGGTCGATTTCAAGAGTCCTCGCATTTTTACATGCTGGTCTTATATGGCGCATATGCATGCTTTAAGAACAAGTTGCAGATTAAGGAGGATGCTTACAGTCATTGCAAAAGGCATGGCCACAGCCCATTTTCGTCATCTTATCACCAGGCAACTCCTCTATGCATATGTCACACATTGCTGCAGATGAAGAGGTCATAGGTGTTTCTGTATCCTCACTCTCAACAACAGAAACACCAGCTTCAGAAAACAAGTCCGTTTTCCCCTTCTCCACAAGTACGGCGAGCAATTTCTCAACATCCCATCGGTAATGAATCAGTAAAGTCCGAGCATGGTGCTCCCTAAGCGATAGCATCTCCATTACTCTCCGCAAATCTTCCCTCTGCCAAGACAAAACAAAGCAATCAATTCAATTCTAAAAACTAGAACACATATGCACAGGAAACCAAAAAAAGGAGAAAAAGATTTTTTTTTTACCTGGGCAGCTAAAAGTGATTCTTTTGTAATAACCTGCGTAAGTACCATAATGGGTTACAACACAAGTACGCCCATTCTAAGAATTCAGTACAAATAGGAACGGAAAAGAAGATGAATATAAGATTCATAGACACTATGTAGTCAGTCCTTTAAGGTTTTCCAATCAAGATTAAAGCTTAATCTCCCCCCCCGGGTTTCTTGAAGGGGAAGAGTTCAATATACACAGTGCAATATAGTATAACAAAAACACGAAACACATGCAATAGAGAGAAAAAAACTGATCAAATTCAACGATCAGCAGTTCCTCTGCTTGTGAAACTAAAAGAATTCCCTAATGAACATGCAAAAAAAAAATCACCCACTTCAAATTACTCTATCCTCATTCTCGAGAAAACCCAAAACCATATTTTTCCAAATTAAACAAAACCCAATCTTAAACTGGAAAAAAAACCCAGAACCAAGAATCTACATATCAATGACAAATTGGAACAAGACATGGAATTCGGGAATAAATTGACCTTGGTAGTGGGACCCTTTGAAGGGGCCCACTGCAAATCGGGGTCCTCATTCTCGAGACCGTCGAGGGAGTCTCGATCGGACGAATAGTAGTAATCCTCGTCGCTGCTCCCACAATCCTCCATCGACAGATCGATCAATCAACACAATTCCAAACTTACCGATTTTAATGATAAATATTATCTTTCTTGCTCAAAAGGAAATGAATCGATTCGTTCCCAGCTATAATTTTACTATCGATTTGAAGAGTGTAAGAGAAGGAGGATGAGAAGAAGGATTGGAAAACGAAGTTTATAATAGAGAAAACCAATTAGATAATAGTAATTATTTGAAAATTTGTGAGACATAAGAGAAACGCTGTCGTTTCGCTTTTGTTCGTGCTTCCTTTATGTTTATATATATAATAATAATTAATAATAAATATGTTAAATTATTAATTAATAATTACTACTAATTATTAATGTATTAATTTTCTGATAAACAATAAACAATAAAAAATGAAAAATAATTAATTATTAATTTTCTACACCCGAAAATTAAACCTTAATTATCCTATCCAAAAAAATTTTGTGAGCTTAACGAGCAACGAATTGAGTAATATTTTTTAATGAGTAGTGAGTCAAATCGAGTAACAAAATTTTTTAACGAGTACGAGTCGAGTACTACTCAACTCGCATCGACTTGCTCAATAAGCACCCCTAAATGTAACCATGTAAACATTAAGAGCACTTATTATTTAATTTTTATTTTAATCACTCAATTTCAATTTTTTTTTAAAAAAATTATTCAAAATATTATGTTTTGGTTATATTTTAGTAATCTTTTTGTTAAAAAAAATAAAGGTGAAACTGACATAATATTTTTTTAATTATTTTTGTGATATTATCTTATGATGACATGTCAATATCATCGTTAATTTTTGAATGTTGAGTCACAAAAACATATATAACGTTAAGTATGATTTTTTTAGAAAAATAGTTAGGTGGCTAAAATAAAAACTGAGTAATCGGTGGTGACTAAATCAATAGTTTCTCCAAAGTTTAAATATAAGACGAACATGATATAAACAAATAAAGTAACTCTTATTGAGGGATCTTTCATCTTTGTGGTTGATCATAACTCCCAACTATTATTAACGTATTGTATTTTTGAGATATCTGGTGTTGTTTTATCCTCTAATTTTGCTAATATCTTCAATATGGTCCTTCAAATTCTCTAATCTTATTATTTTGGTTGTCAATATTTTCAATTTAACAACAAGCATCTTTCGTCTATCGATTTAACGATTCAAATAAAATTATTTTTATTAAACTGTGCAGAATTACAAGAACAACATTGCTCTCCAACCCAAACTTAATTAAGAATTGATTTTAAATAACCAATATCTACGGTCTACCTTAAAGGCAATTAAATAACCCTTTTTCACAGCAGAAATCTCTGGGATTTTCTAATAGGCAATTAATTAAATCAACTTACGGGAAAAATTTAATGTTAATTTTTGAGATGACATTATTAAAATAAACACTCGTAAATTTTGAACATAAATAAATATAAAAAATATTTTTTTAAAAAACGAGAACATGAAATATAAAATTTATTATTATATTATTATATAAGTGTGTAAGATTGAATTAAAATAAAAATCATATCAAATATTCATATATAATATTGGAGAATCATTGATATAATAATTATAAAGATACTAATAAATGTAAAGTTGAAAATTTATGAATTGAACTAAAGTGTACACATTCGAACTTACCATGTATATATTTACTATAATCTCTTGAATTTTCTTTCCCCTTAGAGTGTAAGAAAGCTTCAAAGAATACCAAATTTTCTCAGAGCTCATTAGGTATAACAATGGCAACTCCCAAGCAAACCATAAGTAGCAACACCACCACCAGGGCAACTAGGGGCCGCCAGAAGATTCAGATAAAGAAACTCGAGAACGAAAGCAGCCGTCAGGTAACTTTCTCGAAACGCCGCAACGGGTTATTCAAGAAAGCCAGCGAGCTTTGCGTGTTATGCGGCGCGAACATCGGGATCATCGTGTTCTCTCCCAAAGGAAAACCGTTTTGCTTTGGCCACCCGAACGTCGACGTGATACTGGATCGTTATCTTAATGGAAACCCTCTGGAAGACGCTGACATTGCCTCGTGTTTCGAGGAGTTTAACGAGGAGTGTCGAGAGACGTTGGAGAAACTAGAGGTGGAAAAAGGGCGGACCAAGGAGATAGAAAAGGAGAATGAGGATAAGAGAAACAAGGGAGAGTTTTGGTGGGATGAGCCTATTGATAATAATATGGGGATTGAGGAACTTGAGACCTATGCTAATGCAATGGAGGAGCTGAGGAATAATGTGGCTAACAGGGGTAATTTACTGATGGGAGATGTTTTCGCCGCCACCGCCGCGACTACCACCACCGTGGCTAACCAAAGCGGCTTCGGGAATGGTTTTGCTGTCCAAAACGGAGGTTTTGCCGTCGGAGATGGTGACTTTGGTCTTGGTATTGAAGGTTTTAATTTCGATCATGGTCCTGACTTGGATTATTAATAATCTCTACGGCATCATTGAAGGTGTGGTTACTGTTCTACGTTACAAAATTAATGTTTAGTTTTTATTTACTGTATGAACACTATTGATTTCATCTTTATGTGATCATATACAATGAAGTACTTAATATTAGTTAGTTTTTTCTCCTTTAATTTAACCATTGAGTTTAAAGCAATTCGATTTATTAATTTGAATCATTTCAAATTAAACGTGAACTGGATTTATTTAAATCGTTGACATATCAAGTTAAATTAGATAAGACTCAATTCAAACTTAGATATCAGATTTAAAATCAAATATCATGATGCATGCTTAGTTAAATTAGAATAAATTTAGATATCGTCTACATATAACGAAGCTTAAATTAGATTACAATTGATATTAATAATATATTTCAGAGAATTGCAGAGAGTTTTGCTATAGAAATGATTCTTTTAACGTAATTTGCTCCATTTATAATATTAAATTTTAAAATATTATTTAAATAATCTAACATCTCATTATATTAATTAAGACTTGATTCTCAATCAAGATTATGAGTTGGCGGAGAATTGAAAAGTAGAAAGAGTTGAAAGTAGAGATGGTCATGAGTCCGTTTTACCTAACTTAAAATTCATTTTGATTTTTGGGGTAAAAATTTGATCCATTTCTGATTTTTTGAGAAAAAAAAAACTTACAAAATTGAGTCGAAGGTTCAAATAATTATCTATAGTTGAAAGTAGTTTCAAAACGACAAAGGTAGAAAAGGGAAAACGACCAAGAAGTAGCATAGAAGCATCTTGCGGTGGTTGTCGTAATACGTGCGCATTGTATTCGATGATCAAGTCTTGGTGTACAATAAACTCCCATGCATTCCCCATTGCCCAATATCTATTTTTGTAATCTTTGATTTGCAGAATAATAATCTATGACGGGGTCAAGTCGAAGGCCTGTTCTAGATTCAGGGTTTTGTCGGCTTGGTCTTCATGTTCAATTTAGACTAGTAAATCAGTGAATCGGATTAGTTTTAGATTAATTTACTAAAGAAAAGATTGATCGGATTTAAATTCAAAATTTGATACCAATAAAGACTTAAATAACTCGAAAATAATCATTAATAATTGATTGAGACATTGTCTGCAGCAATCCATCTAATGTTACAGCCTGTTTTGGCATCTCTCCAACTTTCCATTTTGCTTATAGAGATCGCCTTGTCTCTTCCATTTTGTAGGCGAACTCTTTTTTTTTTTTTTGGCTTCAGACCCTCATCCACAAGCACTCGATGGATCATTGCCCTTTTGTGCGCATCCTGGTGGGAAATTTGGCCCTGAAATTTCATGTACCTACAAGGTCCTCACTGTCAAGGGTCCAGGACCCTTATTTTTCTTGTTACTGTAAGATCAAATTCAACAACTTCCCTCATCAAGTTGCTACAATCCCTTTGATCCAATCAGGACAAAGTCTGGAAACTGCTCCTGTCGTGGCGTGTTTCAGTCTAAGCAAGCCTCAGATTTGTCTTTGGGGTTCATCGTTCAAGCTGTCTATAGAAGTTTATGCTGATGGTAATGGCGACAGTGCCTGTGGACTGGCATCTGGGAAGTTATTGGGGAAGGTTTCAGTGCCTTTGGATCTCCATGGCATCTGGGAATCGAGGCCGTGTGTTTTACATAATGGATCGGTTCCTATAGGCCGAAATCGAAGCAGCAAGAATGGATCATGTATGCAGTTGTGTTTAAATGTCAGGACTGAACCTGACCCGAGATTTGTCTTCCAGTTTGGTGGAGACCCAGAGTGCAGCCCTCAGGTTTTCCAGGTTCAAGGCTCTTTTAAACAGGCAGTCTTCACTTGTAAGTTTGGTTTCAGATCATCTTTGTCGGAATCAAACAGGTCCAGGAACTGGCTATCTTGTCTGAAATCTGGTAGGGACAAGTTCTCTAAAGAACTAAAAGGATGGTCGATTACAATCCACGACCTATCAGGCTCTCCGGTTGCAATGGCATCAATGGTGACACCATTTGTCCCATCGCTTGGCTCAGACAGGGTTAGTAGGTCCAATCCCGGTGCATGGCTAATTCTCCGTCCGGGATATAGAACCTGGAAACCTTGGGGTCGACTTGAAGTTTGGCGTGAGCCTGGTTTCATCGACGCACTCAGTTACAGAGTCAACCTCTTCCACGATAATATCATGACAGCCACAGGTACAACCACAACCACCACCACCACCGTCGCCAGTTCAACTCTCAGCACCAAATTTAGCGGGAAATTCACCATGGATATTTTGACAACCAACATGGCAACCCCAATCCAAACTCCATTGATAAGCTCACAAAGCAGCTGTGACTTCGGGTCGTCATGGTCACATTCCTCGTCAAGACCAGGGTCCGGATCAGGGTCAGACTTCGGGTTTGGAGTGTTATCCATTTCTCCGCAGAGCGGTAGTGGATTTGTAATGTCATCAACTGTGGAAAGTGCGGTGAAATGCAGTAAACCGGAAGTGGAGGTAGGGGTGAAGCATGTGACATGCACGGAGGATGCAGCAGCTTTTGTGGCGCTGGCTGCGGCGGTGGATCTAAGCATGGATGCTTGTCTGCCATTCTCTTATAAGCTAAGGAAAGAATTGAGGCAGCAAACTCAGAGCTTTGTCGTTTAATACAGGTGGGGCCTTGTCGTTTTAGGTTGTTTGGTGTAATAAACAACTAATCGGATGAGTTGGTTAGATGTGCTTTTGGATATAAACACTTACAGCAGTTCTTGAGCTTGATGTGATAACCATCAGTTTGTACAGTTCGAATGACATGGCAGGACAGATTTGAGTCAGTTTTGTTTTAACTTTCATGACCAACTTCTTGGACATAAATGAGTATAAATATTCTATGTTACTCTTACCGACATCGAATCGGACATAGGTATCCAAGTATAATCCTACTGTAACAATACTTGTTGAAAAAAAGTGTAATACAAGCTGAATACAACACAAACCAATAAGGTTAATTCTAGACTCGTCACCATAAATGAATCAAAACTACTAAATTGTTTGTGAAACACAAAGAAAACAATTTCAGTTTCGAGTTTTAAGACGGTTAAGATGGGCTACAAACAGGTCGTTCCATGTATCTGTAACTCCAGGCAAGCACCAATGCATGCAGTCATCGTGTTTCTTTCCTCCGGCTGAGGAAGGGTGAGCGTCTGCTCTGAACTCACTCATACGGGTAATATTTAAGCTGTGGATATTAGACCCCTCGAGGGCCTCGTATAGGTGCTGATTCACGAGCCGTGTTTCTACGTTCGTCCCGTTATTCTTCAACGAGAAGAGCTCTTCCACCTGAAAAGGGGATATAACCAATTTCAACCTTGATCCAGAGTGGAAACAGACAAAAGATGAACAATTCTTTCTCCTCGGAAAACAATGGAAGTATTTCAGCATAAAATAAGATGCAAGTTTAATCGAAAGGTAGAACATTGCAAGCCGGCATTTATATTAACAAATATAGCGTCAACATAACTAGTAAAGAGACTCACTTCTTCTGGTAACAAAGGCAGTAACCGTCGACAAGAGCCACCTTGGTCCCAGTCGCCTCCTTCAAAATGCCTGGGTGATTGCGTGCGAAACAATTTAATGGCACCTCGTCGCATTGTTTTCTCCACAAACCGTATCTGCCGATTGACGATTAGTAAGAACTCAGAAGGGAAAATAGTAGCTATAACTCTGACAATGCCAAGTCTTCTCTAAACGAAAGTTGCATGAATGCCACTAAATAAGCTTTGTTATGCAAAGCACCCAATTAGTATATTATTCAAAATTGCAGCAAACGCCATTTGCAGTAACATACCATGTGTTTTAAAACCTTATCCAAGCCAACATCAGGAGGTATGGGAGGGATCACAGGAAGACCCTTTTCAAAGAAAAGCATTGGTGACTTGACTGGGTCGAATTTCGAAGGAGCCCACCACCTATAAAAGAGCAATCGAAATAGTTAATCCAAGTCCGGAAATCTTGGATAACAAACTAGAAATATATGGATTAGAATAACAAAAGAAATTGTGACCAGGAAACAACATAAATATATAACACAACCACATACAACATGATCCAAAAAGCATTGATGATTACATATAAATCAAAAACCACATCCAACTATGGCAACTTGTCATCTCATAAAATCCATTTTCGGTTGATTTCATTCAACACGAAAATAGGATGAAATGCTAAAAGTAACTTAGGAACAACAAAAGAAAATAAAAGGTATGCTACCATACTATTACCACCAAAAGATCTCAACAACCAACCAACATGTCAATATAACACAACCACAAGCTACACAGCTTGAGCCTAAGAGCTCTGATGAGTGCATGTAACTCGATAACCAAACCCAAATCTAATCCACTTTTGGTTATTTTCATCTACCATGATCCAACAACTTAGGAAGAACAAACAAGAACATAAAGGCATGCTACCATAATATTACCGGCACTAAAAGATCGCAACGAGTCATCATGCATCGACAATCTACATCATGTTAAATGGAAAGGGTAAAAAGACTACCAGTGTCCTGTGTTAAAGATCAGTATATCATGGAAGCTTGGAGCCTTTTCCCATGTGCTTTCTGGAATATCGACATCGACTCTATAACCCTCTGTATATCCAAGAGCTTCTAACTCACCACCATTTGCATTAGCCGACCACCTGCATCAAACAAGCCAAAGAAAACAACTTCAAACGAAATGAATTGGAAATTTATCAAAATGAATAAAAAGAGCCCCCAAAGCAGCTTACCTACCATAGCGTGCCAAAAGATTAGTTCGATGATAAGCAATGGTAAGATTATAGTGAACAAAGGTAAATCCACGATCTGCTCCAGCAGGACGCCATTTCTTCACATCATTGGTCACGCGTTTCAGAGTGCAAAACAAAGAAACAAACATGTTTCTGTTTAAGGAATCACCAATAAACCCTGCACTGTTGAGTATCGGTTAAGGCCTAATTGCTTAAATTACTTTTTCTCTAATTTCAAATCTCGTGAGAGGGGGAGTACCAATGTTGGTGTCTCTGTAAGTGTGAAGAAACTTGAGCGGATCGAACGGCGGGAGATGGCAATTACGAGGCTTCCACCGCCACTTAACGATGTCTCCGCTGTTGGATTTGTTGTTCAGAATGCAATTCCATCCTTTGAATATTTCCTTGCAGCTACTGTCGTACCTATCGAATCTCGCATCTGGGTTGTAAACCCACGACCCATCGGTGTAATCGCAGGAAGAATCGCCGGCTGCAGTCGGATCGGATCGGGTTGTGTCGATGGGTCTAAATTGGAAGAAATTGGGATGAGTTGCAAAAGAGGAAATGGAGGCTCTTCTGGAAATAGAGAGAAGGAGAAAGATGCAGACGAAGCAGAGGAGGGAGAAGAGAGGGAAAAGAGATGAAAGCTTCTTTGTTGCTGCCATGGCGGTCTTGAATGAGCTAAGCGGGTAAAGCCCAAGGCTAAAAGCAATGGAGATCTTAGGTCGAAGCGAAAAGCAAACAAAACAGAGTAATCGGTCGGTTTCTCGGGTCCCGTATGACGTGTCAAAGATGTGAAAACAATAACATACAATAGGGGTAATAGTTTTAATCTGTGTACAAATTATCTGATTGGTCAAAGAAATAATTAAATGTTTTAGTCACTTTTCTTATAATCAAATTTGAGTATTATTGAATCTAGTCGATGCTCATTGTTAAAGAACACTTCTTCCAAGAAGTTTTGTGAAAGAGGGTGAGAACTTGTTCAATGTTGATTTGTATTAAAGTGGAGATCATTAGAGTTGTGTGATTTTTTTAACGAATTCGAGATAATTAAAAAAAGACTCACTTAAAATAGAATTTAAAATAAGAATAAAATATTAAAATAAAATCCAATCTGAATAAAATTTTATTTATCTCTTTGTGCATTGATGAAGAATAAGAAATAGATATTATAGATTAGGATTTAAAATAATTTAATTAAACTCTAATTGGTTTAGGCGTATATTGAGTGCATCGTCGATCAAATGCGCACCCAGAGTTGGCGCGAAGTGGGGGCTATTGTCCCCGTCCGTTCCCATTCAGTACATCCCTCACTATAACATTATATTGTTGCATAAGCTATTAAAAGTAGGGTTTTTTTTTCTTGTTTAATTACCCTCAAGGCCTAATTCAATTAACTTGAGGTATCCCCTGGCATTAGGTTTTCGCCAGCAATTCTGTGAGGCTTATTTAGGTCCCTCTCAATCACACGAACTCGACGTCCATCCCGCATCATGTGAGCCGAGAAGGGTAATTCGGATTTGTATGCTTATAACTCGACTCGACCCGACCTGATCTGACACATCATGACACGGTCTGATAAACTAGGTGGAGTTGTGACGAGTACACATGACAATTATATCACGAAGAATATTGGAACCTTTCCAAGAGAATAGGCAAGAGCTGCTCCGGCAACTCCAGCGCCAACTATGATAATATCAGTAGTCCCAACAGCCTCAGCATTTCCAGTTTTGTTTACACAATTTTCACTCGGAAACTCCATAGAAGCTGTTCTGTTGATCTTGCTCGGTCCCCTAGATCTTACAAGAGAAATGCAGTAGAAGAGAACAAACCCCAAAAGAGAAGCCATAACACCTGCAATTCCAACTATGTACTGCTCAGCCATCGATTTAAGAACAATATAGAACAAAATATGGAATGAATGACCAATGAGGGTTGTGACGGGCTAATTTACAGTGACAAAAAGAACTTGCCTATAAATCTGAGTGTTTATGAATTGGATAGGGTTTGGTGTAAACTTATGTGTAGGGTTACTTTTCATGCATGTGTATATTTTAGGTTTGCCCATATTTTTTCACAGATAATCTTTATTTTATATTAATTTAGTATATAATAACTCTTATATATATATTCTTTTATTAAAATTTAAAAATAGATACATACCATATTTAGTAATATATTAAAACTCACTGAGCGACCTCAGTGATAAAAATGAATGTTATTGTCCTTAAAAGTTCTAGATTCGAGTAGTTGTATATGTAGGGTATGTATTCATTATCAATTGATTAAGAAAATTTTGAACATATACTACCCTTATAATTATTTCATAAAATATTAATCAAATTAATCATAAACTTTAAGGTTTAAGTTAGATTCATGTTTTAAATGTAGCTAGACCTTTAGAGTCGTGTTTATTTATGAGCTTTCAATGCGACGTTGGTGAATGATTTTCTTTTTCTGTTTTTAAACCCTAATTTTTACCGTTGTCAATGACAATGTCAATCATCACAAAGAGAACACTATCTTGAGAGGAATTGAGAAAAAGAACAAATAGAAATATAAATTATTTACAAGTTTTCACGTTGGAGTTAATGATACCCTAATTGAAAGATAAAAATAAAATAATATTGATAATCTGAAAAGTAATACGGATTTTTTTAAAATAAGGATTAATTTAGAATGAGAATAATAATTTGAGGATTGATATAAAATGTTTCAAAGTTTAAAGACTAATTTATTTATAATGGATTTAGATTACATATAAATTAATATTATTAATTAAAAATAGTATAATTTTCTTCTATATATTTCGTGATAATTGCTATAATACCATTCTCTATAATTATTATCAATTAAGTTATCATTTAATCGAATAAAAATAATATTTTCAATTTTTCTTGAAATTGATTAATTACCTTCTAAAGCCTCACACAAAGCTGAAAATTAAAATCCCCTTTCTTATTTTTGTTTTGGCCCAATTCTCATTCAATTGATCACAAGTCTTGCCTATTAGGTCCATTTGCTTTTACTAATCGGATCATCCATGGTTGGAATCAACATAAGAATATTGACTT